GTGGGGGGGGGGGGGGGGTGGGGTTCAAGTTTTATTTTTTAAGGACACGGTAAACTTCTTTTGGAGACTTGCGGACTAATTACATGGCTACCGACTGTCTGTAAGGATACGGACAGCGTGCAATGCTTTCTGGGGCATGAATTGAGTTACTATTTAACAAAGAAAAGATGGTCATTAAAATATAACACATTTCACACGCGTGTTAATTTAGAAAAGAATGTTTGTGTTACCAAGATTTAATTTGCTTCAGGCAAAACCTTAACAATAGTATTTGTTTTATTTAATCAGCATAATTATGTACAACACATCCTAGACCAAAAATTGTGTACCCAAACGGTGGTCCGTGGACCGGCACCGGTCCGCGAGCCTTACGTTACCGGTCCAGAGAGCATGAATATTTATGTTTAAATAGAGAGAAAATGTAATTAATAAATCTGGCACCAGTCCCTGGTGCAGTTTTCGAAGTTTGTCCACCGGTGTGTGAAGCTTAAAAGTTTAGGAAACGCTGATGTACACTATATTATCCAATCATGATTAGCATATTCACTCACATTTTCACACAGGGATCAGCAACGGTGCGCTACCTCAGACAACGTTGTGGCAAAGAGATGAGACGCATGTCCTATGATAAAGACAACTCCACTGCAAGCCGTGCACCATGGCACGGCTGGTCCCAGACGGTGTTCATCTAAGTTGTATTTAATTCAGGTAAGTTGCTCAATTGCTTCTTTTAAAACTCTTTGATTTTTTACCTTACGGTACAATAAATTTATTTATTTAATGTTTCGAGAAAACTTGCGTCTGTAAGTGTTAACCTAAACTTTGGCTTTGTCGCAGTGGTGTATTTAGTGTGTGTGTGTGTGTGTGTGAATGTGCTATTGTGTGTCAGTGTGTGTGTGTGTGTGAGAGAGAGAGAGAGAGAGAGAGTGGGAGTGGGTAACTCTCGTCGCGGACTCTTAACTCACTCACGAAAAGTAGAACACATCCAGAAAGCATATTCTATCCCGAGTGGAAAAAAAAGGTTCACAAATACACGTAAAAGAAAATATACATATATATTTTTTTAATAAACACCGCTAAAAAAACAATTCTTTTCGTATAAACCAATTATATACATTTTTCTTTGCATTTATGTAATTATACGTGATCGATCATTTTATTAATTAGAGGCGATTATGTTAATGGGTAAACTTCCGGCGAGAAAACACGTTTCATATTTCCTTCATTTTCCCCCTACAAAACTGCGATCTATTTTTATGACATACCGAAATACGTCACAGATACAAAGCACATAGCAACCGCTACACAATTAATCTCCACACCGAAACACGCAAACATTGATCAAATCCGTTTTCCCTGATCTTTAAGGGAAAGATCAAATCCCATTCCATTCATCTTTCCCTTAAAGAACAAGGAAAACGGATTTTCGGGGGTGGAGGCTGAAAATGTGCCATGTTCGATAGGATGACGGGAAATGGGTCAATTAGCCGTCCGAAGATTTTTCGGTTTCGGTCCTACCTTCCCCTATCAAGTTGAGAGTGTCATCAACTTTTTAACCACAAACTCAACAGCGCTTAGCTTGGACCAAAACCCTACCCTGAGGAAGCGGTTCTCAACCTCTGTTAAACACACACCTGATGGTCAGCTTGGCAGTGCGTCAAAATTACATTGATCATTGCGAAAAACGGCAAAAACTTGTTCCCCCCCCCCTTCCTTCAATATCTCAATATAGGTCGAGTCAAGGGGTACGGGAGAAAGATGTACAGCCGCTGCCCTAGGGGCTGCCAAATATTTAATGAATAGATTTTATGTTAAGCGAAGCTAAGCAGAGTTACAGCTGTCCATGGTCTTCATTATGCCCAAAGTTGGCGCTGACACTGATAGAGTCACTGCCAAAAGATGTAGCTAGGGGTCGTGGCTCCCTGGGCGGGCCAAGATTTTTTTCCACCCACCCCCCCCCTTCCACGATAAAAATTCTTCAGATAGCCGAAAATGCGACTCCTCCATAAAAAGAAAGAAAAAAAAGGATTCATGGGACAAATAGCCCCTTCCGGTCATTTCTTTCGCCGCTGGCACTGCCCACCCGAACATCTGAATTGCTTACTTAACCCCCCTCCCCCCACTCCCTTCCAAAATTTTAAAAAAGAAAAACTGCAAGCCAATACAGGGGGAAATGACCAAGGGCCTTGGGGGAGAGAGGTTACCCCCCACTTTCAGGGGGGGGGGGGGGTGGTGTGGGGGATGGGGCAGACGACTGTGCTAAGAATGAGAATCACTGTACTAAGAAATGACCTGCCATTGACCTGCCCCCACCAAAAAAAAAAAACTGGCACACACACAAGTTGTCAGGCAACGTAGATTTACACAAATGACCTAGATATTGACTCCTCCACTAACATTATTCAACACTAAATGGTGAATGGGTCATTTTAAAAGCCACGACATTCTACGTCCAACGTCGTCGTCCCCTCCCCCCCCCCATCTCATATCGAGTTCTTTGTTCTAAACATGTTCTACAAACCAAGTGTCTATCACGTAATGTCAATGCCAGGCCACCATTGTTGAAACATGCAAGAGTCTGTCGGTAAAATGTCAGTTATTGTGTTCAGAAAGGCGAGCATGCGTACGTTTCATTCTGTGGCAGAGGTGGGTGAGGGTGGGGTAAACAAGAGCCTTGTTAAACCTGGAGTTTAAAAATCATTGGAAACTATAGTAGCTCAGGATAGACAGGAAAGGGGCTCAGGATAGACAGGAAAGTGGTTCAGGACAGACAGGAAAGTGGCTCAGGACAGACAGGAAAGTGGCTCAGGACAGACAGGAAAGTGGCTCAGGACAGATAGGAAAGTGGCTCAGGACAGATAGGAAAGTGGCTCAGGATAGACAGGAAAGTGGATCAGGATAGACAGGAAAGTGGCTCAGGACAGACAGGAAAGTGGTTCAGGACAGACAGAAAAGTGGCTCAGGACAGATAGGAAAGTGGCTCAGGATAGACAGGAAAGTGGCTCAGGATAGACAGGAAAGTGAAGTGACTCATGACAGACAGGAAAGTGGCTCAGGATAGACATGAAAGTGGCTCAGGATAGACATGAAAGTGGCTCAGGATAGACAGGAAAGTAGCTCAGGATAGACAGGAAAGTGGCTCAGGATAGACAGGAAAGTGGCTCAGGATAGACATGAAAGTGGCTCAGGATAGACAGGAAAGTGGCTCAATTAAATACGGACCCATTCGTGTGGCAATTATTGTGCAGGAATAGCTGTACGTGGTTATTGTTGTGTGGGAAATAATTTGCATATTTCATTTCATCATATTCCCTTGCATTAATTTTAGAACCTTGTTCAGCGCGTTCCCTATAGTTGTATGTTAAGTGCATAAAATAAAACCGAGTTACGTACACCAAATTGTATTGTATCAAGTGCGCATAGAAGAATTTTTTTTTTACAATACGCAACATGCGTAAAGGTGCTGTATTCCTGATTGTTGGACTTCAAGTACAAATAAACTGGACACACCGTGCAAGCAAAGAGAGCTGGTTGTTTATACATACTTAGCAATGATTATTTGTGAGACTCAGCTGTCTACAACCAAGTGGTCCAGTGTGGACATGTGGTCATACAAGTATTGGACTGTCACATTCAGTGACAGTAGGTTTTAACCATTACTGACAGTAGGAATTAACCGTTACTGAAAGTAGGACCTATCCGTTACTGTCAGAAGGACCTAACCGTTACCTACAGTAGGACCTAACAATTACTGACAGTAGGACTTAACCGTTACTGACAGTAGGACCTAACCGTTACTGATAGTAGGACCTAACCGTTTTTGACAGCAGGACCTAACCATTACTGACAGCAGGACCTAACCGTTACTGACCACAGGACCTAACCGTTACTGACCGCAGGGCCTAACCGTTACTGACAGCAGGACCTAACCATTTTTGACAGTAGGACCTAACCGTTACTGACAGTAGGACCTAACCGTTACTGACAGTAGGACATAACCAGTAGGACCTAACCGTTACTGACAGTAGGACCTAACCGTTACAGGCAGTAGGACTAACCGTTACTGACAGGAGGACCTAACCGTTACTGACAGTAGGACCTAACCGTTAATGACAGTAGGACCTAACCGTTACTGACAGCAAAACCTAACCGTTACTGACAGGAGAACATAACCGTTACTGACAGTAGGACCTAACCGTTACTGACAGTAGGACGTAACCGTTACTGACAGTAGGACCTAACTGTTACTGACAGTAGGACATAACTGTTACTGACAGTAGGACATAACCGTTACTGACAGTAGGACCTAACCGTTACTGACAGTAGGACATAACTGTTACTGACAGTAGGACATAATCGTTACTGACAGTAGGACCTAACCGTTACTGACAATAGGACCTAACCATTACTGACAGCAGGACCTAACCGTTACTGACAGCAGGACCTAACCGTTACTGACAGCAGGACATAACCGTTACTGACAGTAGAACCTAACCGTTACTGACAATAGGACCTAACCATTACTGACAGCAGGACCTAACCGTTACTGACAGCAGGACCTAACCGTTACTGACAGCAGGACTTAACCGTTACTGACCGCAGGACCTAACCGTTACTGACCGCAGGACCTAACCGTTACTGACCGCATGACCTAACCGTTACTGACAATAGGACCTAACGTTACTGACTGTAGGACATAACCGTTACTGACAGTAGGACCTAACCGTTACTGACAGTAGGAGCTAACCGTTACTGACATTAGGACCTAACCGTTACTAACAGTAGGAGCTAACCGTTACTAACAGTAGGACCTAACCATTACTGACAGCAGGACCTAACTGTTACTGACAGTAGGAGCTAACCGTTACTAACAGTAGGAGCTAACCGTTACTGACAGTAGGAACTAACCGTTACTGACAGTAGGACCTAACCGTTACTGACAGTAGGAGCTAAAACGTTACTAACAGTAGGACCTAACCATTACTGACAGTAGGACCTAACCGTTACTGAAAGTAGGACCTAACCGTTACTGACAGTAGGACCTAACCGTTACTGACAGTTGGACATAACCGTTACTGACAGTAGGACCAAACCGTTACTGACAGTTGGGCATAACCGCTACTGACAGTAGGACCTAACCGTTACTGACAGTTGGACATAACCGTTACTGACAGTAGGACCAAACCGTTACTGTGTCAGCAGCTCTTCTTGTATTTGGACGACTCTTGACTTTACCTTCCCTTTTTTGAAAAAACACAAATAGCCCTCAAATGGAGTGATTATTTGAGACAAGTTTGGGATGATCTACTCACACTATATTTAAATACAACACACGTACTTACACCATACACCTGTCACCTGAGTATGATATAAATACTCGTGTTGTACTGAAATTGTACCGAACAATGGAATGGTCTCTATTCCCAGGCTCCCGCCAAGATCTGGTTGACCATCTTCATCACAACATATCATGACTACGTCATATCTTAAAAGATAAAAAAACATTGTAGTTTAATTAATTTGATTTTTTTTTTAAATCTTAACATATGGATATGCAATTCGTTTTCTCTTACTATCGCCAGAGACTTCAGAATGGGCGACAACAGTCTCAAGTGGGTAACACTGTTCCGGTTGATCGTCCACGTGTCCAAGATGAAACGGAAGTCGTGGCTGAAGTGCATCGTCCTCGGCAGCCTCACATGCATAAGCTTGACCTTCGCCCTCCACATGATGAAGATAAGTCCCCTTGACATATCCATGCTAGCCAGAGACAACTGGTCCGCGAACACATGGACCACCCGGAAATCCATTCTTTCGGAGATACAATCGGAAAGCAGTGACGTTCGGGACGGGTTCAATTTCTCTCAAAACTTTCTTCCTGCGGGTGACAAGGAAGACAACTTCTACATGACGTCAATGTGCACGCAGGATGTGACGTCAAATTCTGCGCAGCTTCCAAAAGTAACGATCATTTATTCTCTGCACGAGTTCCGCGCGAGCCAGCAGGCCACCGAGTTTCTGCGGCAGAACTTGGCGGCCCTTCCGGTCGACGTCACAGATGACATCATCGTGACGGCAGACCCAGACCAGCCTTTGGCGGAAAAAGAAGGTGTGGAGGACTTCCTGGATGGCTGCAGCATTTGCCGTCTGTTCTTTGTGGACGGCACCATATACGACCATAGAAACTTCGCGTCACGTTTTGCGCGGAATGACATTCTTGTTTTCGTCGACGCCAGGATTCTGCCGACTAAAGATTGGCTGCAGCCGCTGCTGTTCAACTTCAACGACACGAAACGGATCGTCTGCCCCACGCTGCACACACGCTACGAGGACGGGAGCGCAAATTCTTTTGGCGTCGCTTTAAACGAGATCACGTGGAGCCTAAACGTGATCAGAGCGGGTCTTGATGGTAAGCTGCTGGAGACGGCTCGAGAGTACAACCAGACATTCGTGGCCCAGACCGCCATCACAAAGGAGGTGTTCGCCATCAGTAAAGAATTCTTCCGTGAGCTCGGACAGTTCGACACGCGGGCCAATATCTCTGGGGGCGAGGACGTCATGTTCTCGTTGAAAGCCATCAACTGCGGGGGGCGGGTCGTCCTGGCGCTCTGCTCCACCGTGTACCTCAACATTCAGAGAGAAACTGTCGCAGAGTTCAGCCTGAGCCCGTTCCTTGATTTTCGCAACCCTTCATTCGACACGCCCTCGGCCGGATACTCCAATGAACTTTACTCCCAGGCACTCGCCAAGATCTGGTTGGACATCTTCACCAAAAAATATCACACCTGCGTCATATCCAAGGGGATTGACTTGACGGTCGTGAACCGCAGCCCCGTGCAGTCACCGTCCAACATCCGTTACCTCAACAGGGACAGTTCCCTCGTGCTGACCCCAAATGGCCAGCGCCTCAGGTTGGAGGCCGATGTCAACAAACGCATGGGGATTCTTCAGTGCGAGACGAAAAACTTCCGCTACCTGATAATTCGTCACCAGCCGCGCATGGTTGCGCCCACCAAGTACGCGCGCTTTTACGGCTACATTCGAACGCTGGATGGAATGTCCTCCGTCGGTCTGTTGACAAATGAGTCCCTAGACGTTGTAGCGAATCCCTCACCTGCGATGACAGTCATTCCTGGGAATTTAGTCCTAACCAGAAATGCTTCCATGTGGGTAGGCCCGTTCTCTTACACCAACGGTGCCTTTATTTACCACCACAGTTGGTGCTTGACATTGACGCCGGACAATTTGTTTGCCTTGAAAAAGTGCGTCGCCGGTACGGGAGCCCAGCTCTTCTCATTCGCAAATCACGTCATACGCCCGCAAGCCGAGGCGGAAAGATGTGCATGCGCCAAAGAACTCTTGCACACTTCCGGACAATTATTTTTATCCCGCTGCGCTGAGAGTGGCGACGTAGGTAGATTTAAGTTAGACGTTGAGTTTAAAGAAAAATGTATTAAATGATAAAATGGATTTTTTTTTTTTTGCATTTTCAGTTTTATTTCAGTGTGTTGAATGTAAGGACGCACGGGGATACATGCAGTAGCGTGTCTGGGGGAAAAAAAAAGATTTCGAGGCAACTACAAGAGCTGGATACGTGAATCTATGTGTCGAACAATGATGGGGTCTTAAAATATTTCTTAACCAATGATTCCATTATTATTATGAAAAAGGGGAATTCGCTCGGTTCGCCCACCTCCTCACGATTACACCGAGCATGACAGCCACAGCTTTAACACAAATCTCCCACCATCATAAAAAGATCAATTTTGAAAGATGTTATTGACGGCGTAACTAAAAGTCCTTTAAAAACGATCAGCCCAAGCTGTTCCTAAGTTGGCCATATTTCATAGTTGGACACTTCGATTAGAACGTACTTTGGCTAAGAAATCAGAGGTCGACCTCCCATCTAATAACTCATCAGCCGAACTATTTGATTTATGATCACCAAACACCAATCCACATCTTGAAACGAAACAGCCGCGAGATGGTGTTAACTTACTTGGACATGATGTCACAAGGATATCAACCGGTGTTCTGTGCATGTGGTAGACGTGAGATGGTGTAATGCTACTGTAGCGATCAACCTAAAATTTTAGAAATGGTTCAATTTTTTGCTAGAAAGGCCTATGAATATATTCCCTTTATGGTCCTTAATTTCACCCAAACTCTGTAGCATGGCTTTCCGTAGGTACTCTACAGATGTAAGCTTTACGTAGCTACTATACAGATGTAAGCGTTCCGTGGCTGCTATACAGATGTAAGCGTTCCGTAGCTACTTTACAAATGTAAGCTTCCCATGGCTACTATACAGATGTAAGCCTTCTGTGGATACTGTACCGATTTAAGATTTCCTTAGCTAATATACATATTTAAGCTGTCCGTAGCTGTCATACAGATGTTAGGACAGTCCTTCAAGTCTTTATACTTAGGAATATATTCAACCATTCTTCAATAAAAAGCAACAGAAATAGTTTCTATAATATATATAACGATTACCGTCGTACACAAACGAACCAAGTCCTGTTGGTTCACTTTTACCTTTGTATCCTCCACACGTCCAGCAGATGTTTCCTCTCTATATCAACATATCTTGTATTGTCCAACCCCTTCATCGTGACGGACATCTGTTCATGTAGGACACTTCTCTTTTGTTATATATAAATCACATCTTGCCGCAAATAACAATGAACGAGAGTATTCAGAGTCCATCCTATCTGAGCGATAGATTTCGTTACACATCGATACTATGGGCGCCTAGAATAGCGAGCTGGAAACGTCTATCGCAGTGGTTCTCAACCTTCCTAATGCCACGACCCTATAATACAGTTCCTCGTGCTGTGGCGACCCCCAGCCACAAAATCATGTTCTTTGCTTCTTCATAACAGTAGAGTACATGTGTTTTCAGGTGGTCTTCGGCGACCCCTAGGCAAGGGTTGTGCGACCCCCAAAGGGGTCGCGACCCACAGGTTGAGAACCGCTGGTCTATCGGATCGATGACTTACCTATACTATGAAAGCAATAGTGTAACAATGTATATGTAAGAATGTCGCGTTAAATCATAAAGGAGACCCGATTTAATGGACCACTTCCAGTCAACCTAGAAACTTGACAACATTGAGACCCGAGGCTGATATCGCTAAGATCCCTAGAAAAATTGACAATTTACCAACTCAATCTGTGGTCTTGATTTTTTTTTTTCAAATGAAAAAAAACTCATTTTCTATCATCCTTGAAAATTCAATTTTGATCAAACGTGTCATCACAAAAGTACCTCAAAGATTTTTTTCAATTTTTTTATACATTTGATAGGAGGTCTCTGGGTCAGATAGCAAATGGGGGTCGGCAGAATCATGCATGGCTAAACTGAAAAATCCATTCGGAGAAAATTCTTAAGGCATGTGCCGTAGCTGTCATTCTAAATACGAGTTTTTTTTTTCTGCAAAGCATTTGAACAAGCAGGATTTTAAAGGTGTGAGAGATGCGCGCCAAACATTGGCGACAGCAATGCGTGAACTTCCCATCTACTAAAGTTACTTGACAAAACATGAACCCAAAAAACCCACATTTAAGAATCCCAATTTTCGCTACCCCCCTTCCCCCCCCCCCCCATGATACGTCACTGCACACTTTCTATTTCACGCCCATGAACTATATTAAATATTCTGATGTCCCAAACACTTTTAAACTGAATGTATTTTGTTGTTTTCCACCATCCTTCATTTGAGACGATTTCATTTATCGAGAAATATTACCCACCCGACGAAGTTGCGTTATTAAAGAAATATAAATGATTTAGCGCAGTTATCGGGAATTATATTTTGCGCGCTAGTGAACTCATTATCTATACATAGCCATCGTGGTGGTGGTGGTGGTCTTTGACCTTTGCTCGCGAATCATACACATAGATTTGTTATGCTCTCAATATCGAATACGCTGAATAGGAAGACGCCAGCTTGCTAGGAAGTAGCCAGAAATGGAAGCAGTCCACGAGTCACACCAGAAGCGTAATGTATGAAAGAGATTATTATTATTAAAGATAGCATCCCTATTGACACAAAAGTTGCAACTAATAGAAATATGCACTTATAGAACACATTGTTTGCGGATTTTGTTTCTCTAGATTATGTGGTGTTAAGGTTTTATAGCCAAAAGTGTGTTCAAATTATAAATTGCAAAAATTGGGATTCTTAAATGTGCGTTACTTGAGCTCATGTTTTGTCAAGTAACATTAGCAGGTGGGAAGTTCACGCATAGCTGTCGCCAATGTTTGGCGGGCTATATCTCCTATATAATTAAGCCGATTTGCTCGAATGTTTTGTCACAGACAATTATGAACCTATTTGACTATCAAAGAATGCCATTTGTACGAACTTACGAGTTATTAGGTACGTTCTTTTCGGCACAATACCCAGCAAGAAATGACGCAGTATAATTTACACGCTGATATAGGACTTACTGACATTTTAAACAAACAACAACGATGATTGACCTTGTATCTCAGGGATTCTTAACCTTTTTTGCACCTCCGAACCTTTTTAGATTTTTAAACATTCTCCCCCCCCCCCCCCAACCCAAATTAAAAAGCATTTTAATAAGATAAGTAAAAATGAGAGTAATGCGGTAATGAGTAATTTATGACAGTTTTCTTTATTAATAAAGATCAATACTCGGAGGTCGAGATTCCATCTCTTAGGACCTCTGGCCGTGAAACATAGCCTAGTAGTCCCTGTGGACTCAGCCATGCAACTCGACCTTGAGTAACGGGGTTTTGGACAGGTTGCTTCCACTCATGAGGGGACAGTTTTGCGTCACAGCCCCCCTTGCCCATTGAGTCTTACGTAGGGTTGGAACAGCTTTGCTTCCTCTCCGGAGATGACGTTGCGTTGCCACCCCCACCGCCCAGGGAGCCGTACGTTCCTTGGTGTGGCACGGCTTTGCTTCCACACCGGGAGTAGTCACGAGCTTAACTTTCTCCCACCGTTCCTAGGAGTTGTGGGAACATGGGTCAAAACGGCTTTACTTCCTCTCCGGGGATGGCGTTGCGTTGCCACCCCCACCGCCCAGGGAGCCGTACGTTCTAATACCCCGTATTTTGTTGGACGAATTTAAATCCACTCCGGGAGTAGTCACAAGCTTAACTTTCTCCCACCGCTCCTGGGAGTTGTGTTGGACATAGTTCCTCACCCCCACCGTGTGGGGGGGGGGGGTGGTTTGGACTGGACTGTGTCGGGACGAAACGGTTGCCTAGGAGCGGCTTTCTCAAGGCCGCATGTTTTTAATCCTCAGCAAGGGTTTTAAAAGAAAACTCTAGCCTCATATCCATTATCGGTGACACGTCATCATGTTAGCGCGCAACATCCGTCGCTTTGGAAGTCATGCGTTTAACTGGTGGGATTTTTTAGCTTCAGAAGGGTAAACCCCCCCCCCCTACTAGCCGGGCACGCCACGAAGAGGCAAAATTCCGTGTAACACCACTCGAGCAAGTGATGCTGGACATGGACCCTACAGAGTTCGGTCTTTGCCCGTCTTTATTTTTCTAACTTGCCGGAAAAATAAATGCAACGGTACAAATAATGTAACAGTTCGAATAATGCAACAGTACAAATTATGCAACAGTACCAATACAATTATGCAACAGTACAATAATTCAGCAGTACAAATAATACAACAATACAAATAATGCGACAGTAAAAATAATGCAACAGTACAAAAAAAATGCAGCAGTACAAATAATGCAACAGTACAATAAATAATGCAACAGTGCAAATAATGCGACAGTGCAAATAACGCAACAGTACAAATATTGAAATAGTATAAATACAATTATGCAACAGTACAAATAATGCAACAGTACTAATACAATTATGCAACAGTACAAATACTGCAACAGTACAAATACTGCAACAGTACAAATATTGCAACAGTACCAATACAATTATGCAACAGTACAAATACTACAACAGTACAAATACTGCAACAGTACTAATACAATTATGCAACAGTACAAATACTACAACAGTACAAATACTGCAACAGTACAAATATTGCAACAGTACCAATACAATTATGCAACAGTACAATTACTACAACAGTACAAATACTGCAACAGTACTAATACAATTATGCAACAGTACAAATACTGCAACAGTACAAATACTGCAACAGTACAAATATTGCAACACTACCAATACAATTATGCAACAGTACAAATACTGCAACAGTACAAATATTGCAACAGTACTAATACAATTATGCAACAGTACAAATACTACAACAGTACAAAGACTACAACAGTACAAATACTACAACAGTACAAATAATGTAACAGTACAAATAATGTAACAGTACAACTACTACAACAGTACAACTACTACAACAGTACAACTACTACAACAGTACAAATAATGTAACAGTACAAACAATGTAACAGTACAAATAATGTAACAGTACAAACAATGTAACAGTACAAATAATG